GGCGCGGAATAAGGCCCTGGTTATGCCCTGCGAAAGACAATGAATTTATGTTGGTATCCTGCGAGGCCAGACAAAGCTGCGAGAGAGTTTGGAAACGAGCAAGACAGCAGATGAGACATCTATCACAGCGGACTGAGTCACTTGAGCAACCTTGTGCCTTAGCACCAGTACCTTACCACTTTCTAGCGTAAAACTTACGGGCTCTTCGTTACAGTCAACACTACCTCGACCTATGAAGAGCTTACAAGCTTGTCAGATAATTGTAGAGAACACGGAAGTAGAAAATGCACGGCGCAACCCAAATAACGATTGGTCAAAGTGGAACGATTTGTCCTACAGAGACCGCCAAAGGGAACCCGGTGAGGTAGTAATAGCGTATGGAGGCTGGCAGGCCACAACTGGTTGGTACCCGCGTCAAACTCAGCCCTAAGGCGCCCCAGCGTCTTTTTTTAGCAATACCTTTCGCCCACGATTCGGCATTTCTACTATAGCCTTCAATGTAAAGCTGTCGCGCCGTTATCAGTTTATTTTTGCTGTGAATTCCACGTCGAGAGGGGAGTCGTTCTGAGGGACATTTTTCCTTATCTCCATGTTGTTTTCTGGTGTATAGTTGCGATATCGTGTTGGTGATGCGTAGTGTAAGGACACTCGATTGGTAGGTTACGGTCAGCGTAGTGGGAGAATTGGTAGGGTTAGATCTACAGATAGTCAGGCAGTCTGGTTCCCTGCGAATGATGGGGCGTATGGGCGTGGCTGCGTTTAGCACGTCGCCAAATCCATTCTTCTTCATGTCTAAGGCAGCGTTCAAACTTCGCGACAGCGTCGATCACACATGCTTTCGACTGCGTCGATCGCACGCTTTCTTCGATCGACGCAGTCGGAGAATCGAAGATGAATATCGAAGAAAGCGTGTGATCGACGCAGTCGAAAGCATGCGCGATCGATCGCGCGCCAGCAAGGCGTGTCGTCTCGAACTCTGAACCTTGCCTAAGGCAGCATGCCGCATCCTGGGAACAACCATATTCAACAAAACGAGCGACATACGCATACGACTGATGACGAACGAATGATATAGTCTGATCGCTTATGAAAGAAAAGCAGCGTTCAGCCTGTGCCAAAAACACACCGTAGCCGGACACGTCTCGTTGAATCTCGTCTCTGTCTCCGCATCAAACCAGAAACCAGGAACACCCCTTATCCTGGGGATAAGGAGGGTGTAAGGGCGTAGTAGCGCCACTTCGGTTCAAAATGACGAGCCTGCGCTTCCCAATAAGGACCTTTAACATTTTGATACAATTGTACAGGTCACTCGTCTTTGGTGAGCGCAAGGGAGGATTAGAGGTGTTTCAAATGAAACTATCCCATGAAAAAAAGGATCTGACGCATGTTTGGACGATTTACGGAATTACATCCTCCACACCTCCAGGATATGGGAGGCCGCGCCAGTGACTCGCGAAAGCCGGATCAGAGCGCTTTGGATCCATGACTGGTATTCTACACTTTCCACTGTCATTCAAAACAATACGAGTACGATACGACGCTGTGTACTGCTCAGTGCTAAGCCAAGAATAATCGTGTTTCTGGACAGTGCACCGACAGATCGACGTGGGCGTCCGTTGTGTGGGCGTTCGGGCCGCGTACGTTATAACACTCAATTAACAGTGACAAATCATTTCACTAGCCAACAGCCTTCCCTGAGGCATACAAGGATAGCTTCTTGAAAAGGCGCTACGCATCGCCTTGTCAAGGGTCGGCGAAATCCCGTGCCTGTTCCAGACATACATAATTCATTCTTCGTCTTGAGGGGTATCATGCCCAACGCCTTGATGAGATGACCCTGTATAAGTGTTAAAGCGGGCAAGAAAAAAGTAACCGGCAAAGTTCGAGAGTGCCAGGTGTCTTTTCGGGGCCTCTCAGCGGTACAACTCTTTCCTCTTTGACGAGAGGGCGCAAATCAGTAAATATGCCGTGGTATAGCCGCGCCGCATGAGCTGTTTGCACTCTGCTATTACCCCCGTCTAGCGCGTCGCCTCGCTGAGTACGAACGCAGCCTTAGCAGATGCGAACTCCATCGCCCCATCAAACCTCTACGGTCTCGTGAGAATCGGTCTAGTAGGGTTGATAGGTAGCAGGCGCCCTGGACGGTCACGGCATCTAAGGTCTTTTTCTGCTGATCTTTCATCTGTCAATGCCCAAATGTCGTTTTGCCCTTCTCGGGTTGCTTTCTCACTTCAGAGAGCCCTGTCCCTATTGACAAGGGGCCTTGATGACGTCTTCACTAACACACTTTATGCCCCACCACTTCCTCCCCCTCCCTCCCCCCCCCCTTACCTCCTCTAAGTTGTAAGAAGTTCACCTTATTCGACACTAGGTCTTTTTTTACGTAGGGGATACCAAGTGGCAGCGTAATCGCGATACCTCATGTCTTATCTGTTTCTTCTTTCCACCTCTTTCCCGCGCCTCTGAGCGGATGCCTGCATCACTTCGTATGCGTAGAGGGCGCATTCACGGTCTATGGACAACTTTAACTCACAATCAGCCCCTTTGAACGCGTCAAGTTTGTGTTTTTCTCTGCTCTCTCTCGTCCGCGTGGCACTCTATGATCATTGTGACTTCGCACATTCCAGCTTTTCACGTATGATAAGTGGCTCACCCACCCCGGAGTCCCTCCTTCTTGGAAAAAACTCGTTTCCTGGCTTGCCATCGTTTCTTGCACGTCTCAGTGCTTTGGCAGACACTGTACTCTACTCGTCTGCGTTTCTTGGTTTGGTTTCGCAACAGGACCATGCACAAAAGCTCAAGATGCTGACGCTACCTATGCCAAAACTCGACCTGCGCTCTTTAAGACAACTTTCATAGTCTAATTAGATTACCGATTCGAGGTACAGAAGACTCTTCCAAATATATTTTTTCAAATTTTATAAAAAAACAACAACAAAAAGTCGAACAATGAAATCGAGTAAAAAGTTTGTAACTGCCGAATAGTGCCTATCGACGAGAATACGGGCAGAAACAGTGAAATAGAGAACATAGAGAACAATCTAGAAGGACTGAAACAAATAAGTAGCAATCATAAGTGAAATTCCTAGCAAGGACGGAGCTTCTGCTCCATTAGCTTGGTCATACGGTAGATCGTCGAACTTTTCCTGGAATGGATAATCTTCGTCTGTGACGTCCTGCACCCACACGGATGGTCCCTTCTGGAGTCGAACTACGTGAACTGCCTACGGGAGCAGCAGTTTCCACAGAACTTTCACCTCCAGAGGCAGCACTGGTCTGCGTAGTGTCGCTGCCACCGGGAGTGTCATTTCCGGTAGCCTCAGTGCCGCTGGAGTCCGTAGCACCACCTGTCACTGGAGCCGCCACCTTCACCAGTGCTATCGGAATCGGCTGAAGGACTGACTTCGTCACCAGATGCACCAGTACTACCGGAATCGGCTGAAGGACTGACTTCGTCACCAGATGCACCAGTACTACCGGAATCGACTGCAGGACTGGCTTCGTCACCACTAGGAGTAAAAGGGGGAGGGTCCTCATCCTGCCCTTGTGAAGTGGTGAAGTGTAGTGCAAAGACCATGAGCGCTGAAAAAACAAGACCTTTTAGAGCCTGAACGTGACTGAACCCAGGCTTTGCGCTATAAGTAAAGAGCATGCACGCTAAGCTTGCAGCCGGCTCGAAACATTTAGCAAAGCCAGGGTCCAGCTCCAATGTACAGATTCAAGCGTAGGAAGAGACGAACCAAGTTCCACAGCAAGAAGCCTCATTGCACTGATCGCTGACTTCCGGAACCAATGGGATCGAAGAAGAATGCTCAACCTTACCTGAAATCGCTTATATACTGCAACACGTGGTAGTAGTAAATTGGTGATATGGGCGTCATATAAGATAGCCACCATCGTTCAAGCTTCACTACATGATTCTTATCAATCAGCAGCAAGCAGTTGTTGAAGATCCAATGACCAATTGATATCCGATTGATCGATCAGTCGATGTGAACCTTCTTCTTATATCTGTTACTTGAGGCTGACTCTATTCGAGCTGACTACACAATAGAGAGCTCGCAGTCGGATGAATCTCTGCTACCGTATTCTGCGCGTTAGGGTCCCCTGATTGAAGTTCTCCCATGTTATACTGCCTCCGTTACTGCACTAGTCATGTACATTTCACAGCGCTCACTCACCGGCTTCGCAGTAGATATGACGCGCTCCCGAAGCCTTGTGATAGCAAAGGATTTCTGCGACGTTCTGGATTACGGTGCCGGCAGCCCATGCAGGACACGCCATCGATGTAATCATTACAACAAGGAGGTTGTACTTGACAGGGAGGGAGGGGGGGAGGCCGTAAGCGCAGGGCCCTTTATGAAGTAGGGAGTGCAGCGATACTCAGATGTGCAGCTTCAATGATGGATGACATGTTCATGTGAAAAAAACACCCAAAGATACACCCGAAGGCAAAAGCAACCTGCCAGCGCAGAAGTGGAGGAACGGCGATGACACAAAGTACGATGGCCGCCCACAACGACGTCATGAATTAATAAACAGATGAAAATACACTTCCGGACCTTTCTGATCACAGGAGCACCAGGTCCTGCACCTTCGATAGCGGTGCTATAACGGTGTTCGGCGCTATAAGGGTGTTCTTGGTTGGAAGAGGCTCCAGGCAGCGCCTGCTAACCGGCACAAAATTCTTTCAGCGCCCGCAGTGCCAAACCCCTTCTTCACCATTCGTTAAAGCGAGCAAATGATATGACTGTATCATATCGTTCGTATTACTCGTTTTCTACCACTTTTTGTCGCATGCGCGCTTCAACAAGAAGGCAGAGAACGGCTTTGACGGGGTGTCGCACTCATACTGCTTGACACGCCCAACCATCGACAGCGAGCTAGAGTACCGAACTTTCCAAGTTTGCCGTGAAGCAGGTCCTTCGTTCGATTCCCTCCAGCGACGAAATGCGTTGAGGTCTCAATCAGCAGTGTGTCCTGGATGGGAGATCACGCTCGCGGCCAAGGATAGAAATATTAGGTAAAGTCCGACAAAGATTCCTAACTCAGCCATTTGCCATCCTCCTATTTCCCCCATACTCTATACTTCCGCTCGCTGGTGGACGCTG